TGGTTGGTTGATGCTCGCACGCCTTTTGTTCTCATGGCTCCCGTTCGACGTAATCCGATCACGAAACTTATGCGGCGCGATCTGTGATGGCTCAAATTCGTTTCACCGATCTTCATGAGTTAAACGAATTATTGCTGGCTTGCGGGACAACCCATTGTGCCTCGTTTTGTTTGTTACTTAGAGTAAGGTAAACAACCCGCACAGATGAACGGTAACCTAACCGTGGATTTTGCCTAACTGTGGTACCCAGGTCACGGTATCGAGCCATAGGTTGACACAACAAGCGCGCTTACATAGTTGGAATGAAACACTCAATTAGCCACTACCCATTCCTTTTCATGATCTGGCCAGTGGAATCACGCGGGTGTTAACATATTCTGGTTCAGTGCTTGTGGTTTCGAAGCGAAACAAGTGCGACCGTTTCTGTCGAGGCACATCGACCATCACGATTGTTTATGTGATCATCCCACTTTATCCGTGACATTTTCACACTATCGGCTGTCTTTCACTTTCACGGCAGCAAATCTCGGTTGACCTACATTGTATAACGTGGGCCTTGTATTTCATCATTCTAATTACCTGATCGTTCTTCATCGACCATTTGGATCCACCCTGTTTCAACACTTCTTTCTGGGCCATAAATGACATCCAGGGCGAGCAGCTCGATCGATGCAGCTCACTGATAAGTAGTTGGGCATACCAAGTTTTCCCTGTCGCTGTCTCACAATCCTGCATCCATCAGCTTCGTCTCTGTTTGAAATCACTCCAAAGAAGTTGACGTCGGAACTTATGGTTATGGGTAATCCTATACCTTGTGAACTCAGCTCGCTCCGCAAATCGTGCTATACCTGAAAATCCAATAATATACTGTCCGGCAATATTATTATATGCAGTGTGGTTGTGATATATGTAGAAAAACGCACTCGGCGTCAACGCTTTCGAAGGTTAGCTACAACAACTTCAGTTATTTACGAGGTCAGTCATAGCTATCTTTCAAAGAACCAAACCGAATCCCCAGGCTACTACAATCTCTTAACGTCTGGAGAGTCTGCAGAATGTCTTAGTCTCACATAGTCTCTTCACCGCCTTAATCCAAACACCCAGGGCTTATTTTTCATAAATAGGGCACAACATCGGTTCCATTGTTTGCGACTGAATCTCCCTTGATTTAGTGCTGTTTCCACTTGTTATGGTCCAACTGCTAGAATTAGCTCAAACCTACCGCCAAAGCCGCACAACAAGCGACACATCCGGAATGTCATGCTCTCGAGTTCCGTCGTCTATAACACTGGCAGTTTTGTATCCTTTTGATGAGCACGCTAATTCCAACGCTTTCTAGAATCACTCCACTGTTACGTTCCCTGTGTTGAGGTGTGCTTGCCGTCCGAAATGTCTGGTCTCAGGTCACTTGACTTGCGGATGACGCGCACTCATCCGTCGGCTACGTATGATCTGACAGCATCATCGCATGCATTCTGACAATATCTTAGAAAGCTAATCATCATTGCACCCGATTGTCACCCGATTTTCAATTGTCAAAGTTTGTGAGGAACTCATCGCAACCACAGTAGGCAAAGTTATCCCCAGAACCTTCAATGTCCCGCTGACGATCCTTTTATTCTTTTGATCCCAGATTTATTGAACATTTCGGTGCGGGGTTTCTACCCGACCTTTGTGAGACAGGAGCCGGCATATTCCGGCTGGAATCGAACACAATGAAACTCGCAAAGAGCTCCGGAAAAAAACTCCATGCTAGCCTGAAAAGAGACCGTGAATCCTGATCGTCTCATGTTGCTTCAGAGATGGAAATGGCTGCTGCCCTTGGTAGCCATCATAAGTTATTCCGGCTGATACTGGAAGCGGGCAGTATGAGATCTGGTGTTAGTGAACCTGTACGTGATGAGAGTGGACAGTCTATCTACAACTTGTCAAAACGCTTGGACCATGGGGCTGAGCACTTTGAAAGTCAACTTAATCAGTCGGAATTGTTAGATTTCCTGCCGGCCACTGATTTCCCCGCTCTCTGGGCTGTCCCTTTGGATTTACCGTGTCGCACAGAAGTGGAACGTGAGATTGCACTGTTGAAGTTAAATAAAGCCGCGGGACCAGATGACCTACCTACATCCCTCTTCAAATTCGGGTGGCCTGCTCATGTGGATAATTTATACGAGTTATTAGTGAAACTGTAGGAGCAGGAAACTATCCAAACTGACTGGAACCGCTGCG